TATAGTAATGATCATTAATCAATTTTTTTTATGATTAGTGATAATGACATTAAAAAACACATTAAGAGAAGACTTAACACTAATAAATGTATTTTATTTATTAGTTCAAGAGACATCACAATTTAACTATCGCTTATTATAAAAAAAAAATTTATTAATGATTTCTATCGCTAATTATTAAAAAATTTGATTAATGATCATTACTATATCACTTGTTATACCTTGCATTGAACAATTATTGTATATCCTTTCTAGCCTCCTATCCAATCGATATCTCCATCGCCTAGTGCGTGTCTATCAGATTAAACAAAATAAAAAAAATTGAGTATTTATCTTTATTATCATCAAGAATCAAGAAAAACGTTCATAATCATATTTGATTAGGCCACAAAGAGCTTTCAATTCTCGATTCATGTATCCTATTCACCACAGCTCTAGAGAAACTCCATAGATAACTTTTCGATAACATGAAAAGAATGTTCATAACCATGTTGACCACATGATTATGGCCACAATGAGCTTTCATTATCATTATTTACATCTAGTGGCAGCGCAACTTCAGCTATATAACAACTAGACAATGACTCAGTGAATACTCACTCAAATCTACATAATTCTATATACAAGTTCATAAAAATGATTCTAATTCTATCTTCAAAACCTTTGCCATTCTTTCCATTCTTTCGTGGTGACTTTTGAGCAATATCAAAGTTAATGTGAGACATTTTTTTTTAAATTAAAAAACTACTACATGCTTAATATCAAAATCGTTACCCCTTTTTCTTTGCATTATTTCACTAAAAACAAGTCTCAAGCATGAATAATAGCTAGAAAAGTTGTAGATCGATATAACAATAAGATTAAAAATCAAAGTTACACAAATGATGAGTAAGAGTGAAAATCAAATACAAATTAAGTATAATTCCGGAGAAAGCTAAAATATAAATTCAGGCAAATTTAAAATATAATTTTAGGCAAAATTATAATATCGATATAAATTTAGACAAAATTA